CTATAACAAAATACCTGAGTCTGGGTAATTTATAACGAAGGGAAGTTTATCTTGGCTCAATGCCCTGGAGGTTGGGAAGCATAAGGGCATAGCAGCGGCATCTAGCCGTGGAGGAAAGCTGAAGAGTAAGGACACACAGAGACAAGCAGGAAACTTTGAATTTGCTTTCTACAGTCCACTCCCCTGAGAAGAACCTAAGTTCCTCTCTGAATGACCTCATCACCTCATAAAAGCCACCCTCAAAATAGTCACATGACATTCAAGTTTCTCCATGAATTTTGGAGAAGGCATCCATGTGCAAACCACAGCAGTGAATGGCAAGCTTTATGAATGCATGGGAGATGAATAGGGGGTGAGTTTCACTCCTACCAGGACACCTTAAAGCTGGATCTAGGACTCCCAAGTGCTCACTCACACACACACACACACACACACACACACACACACACACACACACACACACACGATGTACTCACACACATGCATGCACTCACACACACACTCACGTACATGCATGCACTCACACTCACACACACACTCACACATGCATGCACTCACACACACACTCACACACATGCATGCACTCACACACTCACACACACTCACACACACACTCACACACATGCATGCACTCACACACACACTCACATTCCATATGGGTCATGTGCATCTTCATGTCCCTCCATTCAGGCCCTTCCGTCTTCTCATGCACAGCCCCTCAGCTCTCCCTACTTTGACCCCTAAACCCAGATCCTGGCTTCCTTTTGCATATCTAAGAACTCAGTGAAAGCTGTGAAATCCTACTAGAGCCTGGTTCCGATCTGTTAGAGGGGGCTTTTCCTCATTTTCCTTCAGTAATACCGTGTCCTGCTTCTCTCCGGACCTGTGATGCATGTGCTCCCCTTAGTCCGTTTTCTGTTGCTATAACTGAATGCCACAGACTCTAGTTTATACAGAGAGGCTTGACTCAGCTCACGGCTCTGAGGACTGGCAAGTTCGGTCAGGTAGCTATAGCTAGTGAAGCTGTCCTTGCTAGGGGGGGACCCTATTGAGTTCAGAGGTGTTTCAGGACCTCATATGGCCACAGAATCCCCAGTTCAGGTTTCTCTGTTTGTTAAGACACAATTCCATGGTGTTAATGCCCTCCCCCATGACTTCTGATATTTTTAATTCCTCCCTCAAAGCCCCACCTCCAAAAGTCAAGTCATGCTTCTATGGAGATGAATGTCACTTGACTCTTGTGTGGACACATTCAAACCATAAATAGTGCTTTCTCCAGTCTGTACCGAAGATGAGGAGACAGCTCAGAGAGGTTCAGCCACATGACCAAGGCCACACAGACATTGAGAAGTGCTGATGGTTGACAAGCTTTCAGCCCTCCTCAGGAGTGCTGCAGTGGGGTTCTCCCTTGTGCTCCTAGGGCACCGTGTGGGGCTCAGCTTGCATGCTAATTACAGGCCCTCTTCTGCATGGGGCCCCTCCTCGGGATCACTCCCCTAGCCAGGATGGAGAAGGCATGGCACTGGATTCTGTTCAAGAGTTCTTAGGTGATTCCAGGCGTCACTCTAGGCGGTAGCCAAACCTACACACACATATAAACACACACACACACACACACACACACACACACACACACACACACACACACACATATATATATATATCAGATATTTACATTACGGTTCATAGCAGTAAAATTACAGTTATGAATTAGGAACAAGATGGTTTATGGTGGGGGTCACCACAACATGAGCTGTATTACAGAGTCTCAGCATTAGGAAGGTTGAGAACATTTGTTCTGCTCTGACCTTTGACAAATGAGGAAACAGAGACCCAGGGTGGGAAAACAATGTCTTAAAAACAAGCAAGTTCAGGGCCAGCAGACAGAAGCCTGGCCTTAGGGTTGTGTTCTAGCCCTCATGAGAACACTGAGGATATTTTGTATCTGAAATGCAGTTTTATGAATGTTGTGAGCATCACAGCGTACCTGGGAGGTTGGTGAGATTCTGGATGTAGAGGAGGACTTGGTGACTGATGGAGGAGTGTGTCACCATGGCTGACATGTTGAGCCTTCTTTGGAACTTTACAAGTACCACATGACCTTTGAAATTGTCCCATTTTACATAGGAGGAAACTGAGGCACAGAGGAGTTGAGTGACCCATTGAGAGTTCCAGAACTTTGAAGAGGCAGGCTCAGGATTTGAACCCGTGAAGTCTGGCCCCATATCCTCTCCCTTGTGCCAAATCGGTCAAGGGCCATGGTATTCACCTGGTCAGTCTGCTGTCCCGCACCCAGCTTCGGCATTGGGAGGACCAGATCTGTGGAGAGCTTCCATGGCAGTGAGACCCTGGCTTCTCCACTCTGTACACTCTACTAGCTTACTATACTGCAATTCAGATGACCAGGCACCACTGCAGAGGTCCCAAGAGGTGGCTGGACAGCCTCTGTGTCAGCCTCACGTCCCTGAGATAACCAAGCTCCCCTTACCAAGAATATACTGGTCTAACGGGGCCTGTCACAGGACAAGGACCCAGGCACCCACCTCACCCTGACTCTGAGCGCACCACTTGGGGGTCCTGGTGGGGTTGTTTCCTCCTGGACACAGGACACTGTGGTGAGCAACGAATCAGAAATTGCTTTACACCTTAGCCCATAGCAGGTCCCTGGCTGCTGAGGTAGTGGTGGCTAGTCGTGAGGTAGCTAGAGAAGTAGTGGTGGCCAGTGTCCAAGTGGCAGGTCCACTCTGTGAAGTGTCCCTGGTTGACCTAGGAGCTTCATTCATTCATTCACCCACTCGCTCACTCGCTCACTCACTTAACAATTAGTCATCCATGCATGCTAGATGGATGCCAAGCCTTGCGATGAAGCTTGGGATCGAGACATAAACAGACAAAACTCTGTCCCCAAGGAGTTTTCAGCCTCGTGGAAGAGACAGATAATTAGCAAGATGAGCATGGTGAACAAGACAGGTTGGGATGTGATAAGCTCTGTGGGATAAACCATGGCAGGACAGGAGGTTGGGCTGGTCAGGGAAAGCATCCCAGGGAGGGCTTCTCCTGCGTGGAGCCCAGAAAGCGAGCAGGAGAGGGCCTCCCGGACTCTGTGCCATGGGATACCAGTGTCTGCCGGAGACAGGGCATTATGGGGGACACAGACCTGCAGGAACAGACTGTCGGCCCAAGGTGAGGCGAGGAGACACTAGGGGATCATACGGGACCTCTGCGCCAGTGGAGAGGCAGGAAAGGGTGCCTCCTGGAAGCCACGCGCTGCTTCTGACTTAGGCTCACTTCTGTCGCATGTGGAAGTTGCTTATGCACCTTTGCAGGTGTCCAGGGGCCCATGCCAACTCCCTCCAGCTGAGTGGTCCTGAGACTCCCATTGGGACTGGAGCTCAGAGAGGCTTCCTGGAAGAGGTGGTCTGGCAGTAGGAGATACGGTGCTAATCAGAGATAGACCATGCACAGCACTACCAGGATGTCCCTCTTATGGGGCAGTGTAGATGCGTGGATCGAGTCTTGATCCAAGCGTCTACAGGGCAGTTCATGGTGCCAGAATCTTGGGGACAGTGTGGCCTGGCCCCCAATCCAGACTTCCCTATCTCCACATTCCTCCCCCAACCTGCTTCCCAAAGAGGAGAAGGAATAGGGGGGAAGGGGGAGGAGGGGGAGGAGGGGGAGGCGCTGTAGCACTGATGGGTATGCCCAGGCCGGGCTGTGCGGCCCAGCTCTGTCACCACTCTCTCCCTCTGTATGCCGGAACCTGACACCCTGACCACTGAGGCATAAAAAACAGAGAATTGGAAGGCGCAGCCTGTCAGGCTGGGAGTGGCCCCAGGAGAGGCCTGAGCAGGAGTGTGTGTGTGTGTGTGTGTGTGTGTGTGTGTGTGTGTGTGTGTGTGTGTGTGCAGGCTCTGCCTGTGCTTGCCTATGGGGTGGGAGGAGGACTAGTCTCTTCCAGAGCCTCTTGCCCTTTGGCCTTGGTGCGTTCCCTTTAGGGGATCACGGAGTCATGCTTGGCCGAGGGTCGTCTCTCAGGACCATGTAGCTCCTGTCATCTCCAGCAGGAGGGGCCTTACTTGGGGTTTTAAAAAGCCATTCAATGCCCCACTGGTTTTCCGTGCCCTGCTCCGAAGCCTCTGCTAGACACACCAGGCTCTCAGACACTCAGTGTGGAGGCCTGAGAACCCAGTCTGCCCTCTGCGGCCCCATCTATAGGAGGGAGGGAGGAGGAAATGGACAGAATCTGCTGCTACATGAGTGTGGGGCAGGAACTGAAGCCGTGCCTGCGCCTAGATGGCAGAGAAGAGACTCCCTTGGGGCTGCTGCAAACCCAAGGAACAGCCAGGGGCGGGTGCAGCTCTTGAGGTGCTAAGCATCTGAGTGAATGTCCTCTGGGTCCACCCTACTCACCTTTCACCCATGCACAGCTCAGTGCCTGTCTGAGCATGCCCACAACCATGAACAACTGTCTGCTCCCCAGTATCTAGAGGACCCCAGCCCACTCCCTCTTTTGTATTTCATAAGCATTTCGCCTGTCCCTTCATGTCTGCATTCTCCAGACACAATGGGTGGCCCTGTGTCTCGTGTCCCTGTCCAGCTGGCCACCCTTGGCGCAGTCACTGTGAATTCACAGCACACACTAGAGCTGAGGTCGTGGGGAATGGAACCAACCCACACCAGGGTCCCTTCAGAGCCTCAGCCAGTGCCAATAGCCCAGCAGGCTAGGATTGAACTTGGGCAGGTGTACCAAGTGAGACCCCACCCTGCACATGATGACTCTATGACTTCCATTGCCACTGATCCAAAGTGCATTGGGGTGAAATAGACAGCTCACTACATGAAGGTATAGCCCCAATGTGGTATAATTGGTTACCAAAAGTACCTCACAGAGGAGCCGAGCACCATCGATAGTCAGTATTTGAGCTGACTTGAACCCACAACCTCTTCTGAACCTGATTTAACATTTGCCTCCCATTTGTCTCTCTTCCCACCTCCTGCAGGGAGCGAATTTTCTGGAAGCCCGTACAGCCACCCTCAGTATTCCTCCTACAATGATTCGTGGAGGTTCCCCAACCCAGGACTGCTTGGTGAGTACTGTCCTTTGGGGTCCCTAGGTCCTTGGATGACCTACTTGACCTCCTCATTGGTCGGAGTCCCTTTTGAGATCTGGCCACTGGGGTGAGATTTTGCCCCATGAGTGTGGAGTATAGGGGCTGTTATGGTGGTCTTAGGGCAGTTAGTGCCACTGTAGCTCAAGGGGGGTGGGAAAGTGAGAAAGAAAAGAAGGTAGGAAAAGTGCTTGCCCATGAGTAACTAATATTTCTTAAGAACCAGTAAATGTGGGGCTGGAGAGATGGCTCAGAGGTTCAGAGCACTGACTGTTCTTCCAGAGGACCCGGGTTCAGTTCCCAGCAACCACATGGTGGCTCACAACCACCTTGAATGAGATCTGGTGCCCTCTGCTGGCGTGTAGGCAGAAGACTGTATACATAAGAAAAAAAAAAAAAGACAGTGAATGTAAGGCAAAGCCCCTAAATAAAAGGCACTGAAAATACAAACTTGGATTGATTGGTGCTGGCTGCCTGGAAAACTGTCTCGTTAAGGACTCTGAGGCCTAGAGGTTGATTAATGATGTCTGCTATGGCCACAACCGGTGCCAGCACTATTAGGAACCAGCTGCCCTGTGGCTGTGGCTTGCCAAGGCATGCTGTGTAGGGCTCAGCTGGTGCCTAACCTTTATCCAAGACTCAGATCGGCAGAATCCATGGCTGGAACATTCTGGTCTGTGAATATCGTCAGTACATTTGTACATAGATACACAGACAGTCAGACACACACACACACACACACACACACACACACACACACACACAAAGCTAACTTTGTCCTCCAAGGTTCCAGCAAGGAGTCCTCTCCTTCGTTAACCTAACCCTACATGAAACCAGCAGATGAGTGAGTACCCACCAAAGCTGAAGTAAATTGAAACAGAGGTCCTGGATGCAGATGTCACCCCTTAGAGGCAGAAGCAGCCAATCAGCTTGCAGGTTACAATACTGATCTCACACCTGTAGTCAGCTAAAGACGGTCTACTTGGAGCAGTGTAGGGAGAGTGGGAGGGTGGAGGAGTGGTAGAGACTGCTCTGGTCTATCCGTCCACGTTAGCAAGGCCTCCTTCAGAGAGCCTGCTTGTTCCTCAGATCCTTACTTATTGCCAGACCCTAGGCCTGTGAAGCCGCAGCCTTGATTCCTTCCCCAGTCTGATTTGACTAAGACAAGCACATGGAATGGTTGCCACATTGCTCACTGCCACAGGAACTGGGCATGTGATATGGTCTTGGTGTGTCATCCGCAACTGATGTAAGGGAGAGATCCAGTCTGCCTTACAAAAGACTCTGGGACTCTCGTCAGCCCTAGTTTCCCTCCAGCTGAGTCCTGGTCCCAGTTCTATGGGGAGAATCACAGGGAGTGTCTCAGGTGAAGTCCGGGTCCTGTGGAAATGCCTTCCTAAGGTCACACGACCCAGAGCTTCTACACATGATTTCTCGGCCTAGGGAGCACAAGAACAGCAGAATTCCTGCCGAGAGGAGTCCCCATTTTGTGCTTTCCACAAGACATCCCAGAGGTTAGCAGTGACAGTCACTTCTGGGGATTTAAGGAGCACAGCAGCAGGGAGAGGGGTAGTTGTTGAGGGTAGTTGTGGAATATTCACAAACAAGGGACTTTGAACAAGGCTGAGAAGTTGGGAACACATTGCAGGGTAGTGGCATGTCCAAAGTGGTGAGGATGGGGGCCTGAGGCTTTCTGCTCAAGTCTGAGTGAAAGCCGGTCCGCAGCCCAGTGACCTCATGGCGGGGGTGAGGGAGCCTGGAGCCTGTGCTGGGTGCTGAGGCCTTTCGGGGGGACTGGAGAGAGGGGGAAGAAGCAGAATCAAAACCCGGATTATCCACAGTTGTGCCATGAAGTTCGAGTTCCAATAGGTCTTAATAAACAAAGCCCAGAGTCAGATATCAGGGGGTGAAAGCTAAAAGATCAGAAGCAGCCAGCCACTGAGAAATCCTCAGCCTGAAGAGAGACGGAGCTCCTGTCTCCTCCGCCTATATTCCTCTCTCCGCCCTGCTGTATCACTCCCCGTCTGATGTGCAGATCGCCAGACCTCTATGGCTAGCCAGCGGGTAACTCCCACCTCTGATCTTCAGGCAAGCTTTATTTGCTAGAGTATAAACAAGATACCCCTACAGTATGGGGCATGGGAAATGCTCATTTTATCCCTTCAAAAGCCCGATGGGAACCATCCTGATAGCTAGGATACAGCGGAGAAGCAGTGATCAGAAGGGCAGACTCATTCACCCCAGGCCACACACGCACAGGTATCAGACCAGGTGTCACCTTGACTCCAGAGCCTGTTTCCTCAGGCAGTGTGTGATGGGGTTCTCTCAAGCTCCCTAACTAATTCAGGCTGGACAGCTACAGCTAGGAGGAGACCTCAGGCCTCTGGAGAACCGGAGAGTCCTCAACACTCCAGCCTTGTGTGTGATAAGGACAGCAGGCTGCTTTGGAGAGCCAGGTTATTGACTTATAATTGCAAACCCACAGAATCCACTCTGGCTAATTTACACAGAAACATGTTTAGTAAAGGCCACCAGAGGTTCCCAGAATCTCCAGGCAGACTCAATAGATGGGCATGGGACCGGAGCCAGGAACACACCAGTTACCCTGCAGGGCTGCTCTGCTGTGAGCACCCCCCATTGCTGCCACCCACCGATTACACCACGGTGCAGCTTTCCCTAGGAACCTGACAACATGGGAAGCCGTTCCCCGCCACCATTCAGACATGGAGGCCTTTGACACACCTGTTCCTAGTGAATGGGGGCCCAGCCCACTTCCTTAGGCTGCTTCCTTTCCCATCAATGTCCAACAAGAGAGCCTAATAGACAGCTCTCGGGTAAAAGGCCCACGCCCTAGCAGCAAGGGAAGCCGGGAGAACGAGTCAGAGGCAGGCCTGTGGCAAGGAAAAGGGTCGACTCAAGAGGAGTGTAAACCATGTGGGGCCTACAAACCAGGCTCGAGTCCTTATCTAGATCCATCACCAGCCATCACCGTAACCTGGCCACCCACCAGCCTGGACCTCAGTTGGCTCAGAGATAAGATGAGGATGGTTACCATGGAAGCCTCTCACTCCGACCTGTGCAGGAAGCTCTTGAGGCATGGGGCTCTGAATCCATAGGGATTCTGCTTGCAAGCAGATGAAGACACTGCCTCACCTGACCACAACTTTACAGACAGCTCCACTCTGCTCCCATGCGCCTATCTTACGGGCCGGCCACAGAGTGCAGTGGATTGACCAAACGCATCCCGTGGTTCAGCCTAGAAAGACTCAGTCTAGTGATTTCTCTGATTGGGGGTGAAGGAGACCAGGAATGTGGTGACCTGTCCTGTGTTTCCTCAGGCTCAGGTGAGCTCCTGAAGGCACACAGCACAGCTCACTCTTCCCCAGTCAGATACAGCCGTGCACAGGACCCTCAGGTACCCCAGCTGGCCTCGTTGAAGCCTCCTTTACCAGCACAGCATGAGAACTGACAGTTACCTTCAGCACCCCATCGTGTGGGTTCCCCCATCCTCTGGGATCCCCCAGGCTGGTGAGGGAGTAGCAGAGGCAAGCAGGGCTGGCAGTGGGAAAGCAGGCCATGGTCAATTAGGATTAGAATAGCGGTGCCTGTGGCCGCTGTGAAGGGATTAGGGAGGGTACCAGCCCTGAGCCAGCCTGGGATGACTGTGTCAAGAGGTAAATTGATGATAATGTGAATTAGAGAGGAAAAATGACAGAAGGAAGGACAAGTTTATTCTAGATGGAGGTCTAATGGGTGCCAAGAAGACAGGGTGCTTTGTGAGGTGATGTTTTCATTTTTGTGGTAAATCAAACCCTCAGTCAAGGCTGCCACCCAGGCTGGCTAAGCCCTGAGGGGCAAACACACTGTGGGAGAGCTGGAAACCTCCCCCACGGGGCTTCTAGAGTGGCATCCCCCCTACTTCCTGCCTCTGGTGGACCACTTGTGAGGGCAGTCCCTATGATTTTCATATTCTTTTCATTTGTGAGGACAGTCCCTATGATTTTCATGTTCTTTTCATTTGTGAGGGCAGTCCCTATGATTTTCATATTATTCTTGTGCAGTCTCCAGACCTGCAGGGAATGAACCCCACCCCACCCTGTTGCTGTGGGGAGGTGACCTTGAAGGCAGCAGGAGAACGTCTTTGGGGATTCTCGGGTGTGTGATGCTTGCCTGGGCCTTCTAGAACAGCAAGGAGAGGCACCACACTATCACCGCCTGAGGCAGCACTGTCCTGAGTCAGGGGTAAGAGTGGATCAGCCTATGAGGCTGGGGTCCAGATGCTAAAGTGTCCTGCTACCCTACTGCATGCTAGCTAGCCATACGGCTTTGGCAGATAGCCTCTTCCACAAAACAGGGACAATCATAGTCCCTACCCGATAAGAGTTAATGGGTGTAAGTCCTTTAAAGAAGGGGATCATTTCCACAGCACCATCACACCCTCATTCAGGGTATCCTCACATTGCCCCACAGTGACCCCTTTTTAAAGACGAACACAGCTGAGCTCAGGGGGCCAAAGCCACTTGGTCAAGACCTTTCACTGAGACATGGTTGGGCCCATGAAGAAAACCCCTGCAGCTCAGCCCTCAGTTAGGGTATCTGGGAGAACGGTCAGGGTCGGTTTGGGTTTGAATAAGACTCCAGAATAAATCCTAGCCCATTCCTCTGGGAATTCAGCTCAACAGGCCTACCGCATGAAGACCGACTGATAGGGCCCCAACTTCTGTCTGCTGCAATAAGTCTGTCCCTCCGGTGTCAACCTTGAACTGTGCTATGGTGGATGAACCCCCTTGCCAATGACACACATCCTGGGCTCAAGGAGGTGCCAGCACTGAGGGGCTTTGTGACATGAGTGGGTTTTTATTTTGCTGAACATCATGTCCTAACCCTGTAAGATTTGAAGCTCTGGCCTCTGTGGCTCTGAGAATCCAGCCAGGCCCTTGGACCCTCAGTTTCCCAGGTCCCTGGGGAAGGATTTTAGTGTAGACAGGACTTCTACTGGATGAGAGAATGTGTCCAAACAGCAGGAAACAGTCCAGAGGCGTGAGAGGAACCCAGAGAGAACTCTGTCCTGAAGTCACAGGAAGGGCCTGTATCCAGTTCTGCACGGCCACCCCTGCTCCGTGTCCATGCCTAAACCCAGACCAATCCCACTTTCTGTCAGTGGCCGCCAGAGCTTTTCCAAAAGCCCAGCCTCCCAGGACACAAACTCATTTTTAAATTTTCTCCCAAGAGAGAATCTCTGTATGTAGACTGGCCTCCAACTCCTGGCAATCTTCTTGCCTGGGACCCCAGAGCCCTGGATTATACGTGTGAGCCAACATGCCTGGGTCAGATTCCTCTTAACTCTGAGCATCCAGCCACGTTGAAGCAGTGGATGCCCACTGTTTCTTATCCCTGCAGCCAATGAGACCAGGAAGGGAGTAAGTGAACTAGTGGATAGTTGAGCCAGCAGCCAAGGGTTTCTCCACACCTGCTTGTTCACGCAGGACCATTGTTCCTTCATGCTAGAATCCTCACTGAGTAGAGCGGCAAACTCCAGGCAAATGTCAAAAAGGTCAGAGCCCAGCCCTTGCCTGCTTAGGATTCTCTGCCCTGGAATAGGCATAAAGGAGGGTTAGGGTTAGAGGTTAGGGGTTAGGGTTAGAGTTAGGTCTAGGGTCAGGGGTTAGGGGTTAGGGTTAGGTTTAGGGTTAGGGTTAGGGTTAGGGGTTAGGGGTTAGGGTTAGGGTTAGTGTTAGGGGTTAGGGTTAGGGTTAGGGTTAGGGGTTAGGGTTAGGGTTAGGGGTTAGGGTTAGGGTTAGTGTTAGGGGTTAGGGTTAAGGGTTAAGGGTTAGGTTTAGGGGTTAGAGTTAGGTTTTGGGGTTAGGGTTAGGGTTAAGGGTTAGGGCTAGGTTTAAGTTTAGGGGTTAGGGTTAGGGGTTAGGGTTAGGGTTAGGGGTTAAGGTTAGGGTTAGGGTTAGGGTTAGGGAAATGCATAAAGGAGAGTGGTGGTTACACCTTGTGGCTCAACTGTGAAGGAAGATGAGCCCATGGGAGAGTCTCCACATTGGAGGAAGGCTGGGCCCTAGAACTTGAAGGAGGCCTAGACAGGAAAGAGGCTAAAAACACAGGGGGACCTCCAGGTAGGAGGTCTGAGTCTGATAAAATGGGGTCACTGGCCCTGCCCGCTACGTTTGAATTTCATTAGATGGCAGTATCAGGCTCAAACTTTGGGTCTGATGTGGAATATGGCTAGGAATGATGGGCAATATGACCAGTGAGTCCAGAGAGGTTGGCCAAGGCTTGTCAATCAGACAAAAACCTGAATACTTTTACTCTGTGGGCAAGGCCTAAAAGACATTTTGTATACAAGACCAGACACTAAGTAATTTAGGCTTTGTGATCCATAGGGTCAACTACCCAGTTTCTCAGCAACACGGAAGCAGCCAGAAGTCACACAAAGGAAGGGGGGAGCACGTGCAGCAGCCAGGGTGGAACCCACAGGCGTCAGTCTGTGTGCAGCTGATCGACTGGCAGCTCAGGAAACAGATCGGGACGGTATCTTAGGGAGAGTGGACAGTGGCCTGAACTGGGAGAGAGGACAAAAGGGACCTGTGGGCAGGAGACCCCAGGGCTAACCTCGGCGCCCTCTCCTCTCTTCCAGGCTCCCCGTACTATTACAGCGCTGCAGCCCGAGGAGCCGCGCCACCCGCCGCAGCCACCGCCTATGACCGCCACTGACCCTCAGAGCCACGTGGGCACCAATTCTTACAACTCGTATCAACCCCAAGACAGACAGAGAGGCCCAACAGGTCCGTCTCCCACCCCCGTCCCACACACACGTGAAGCATCCTCCCTCCATTTCTTCCCCCCCAGGATCCAGGTAGGGCTGTTGGACTTCTGGATTCTTATCCGTTTCAAGAGCCAATTGACGAGCTTCTCCCAGTGGTGACAGGGTCTCTGCTGTTCTGAAGACCTTCGCAGCCAAGCCCAGCCTGCCAGTCCTCCTGAATGTCTGACCATCTGTGGGTCTCAGCCACAGCAGGCCTGGAAAGGAGAAATGGCTTTCGATGCTCCACAACACCCATGTAAATACCTTCTTGCTTCCCTGTGGACCTGAGGGTCTAACAGAGCAGATCACCCCCAGCCACGGTGCATCATGGGATATCTTCCATCTCTGCACAGAACACCCCCCTCTACCCTGGTGCCCTGTCAGGTGTCTCAAAGCTGTCTTTGAAACTGACAGTGCCCACCTTGAGGATGCCTGGCCTCGAGTTCGCCCCACTTCTCGAATATCTGCAAGGCTCGCTGGTGGTCACGGTGCAAGCTTCTCCTGAGGTTCCCCCAAGAGGAATACACTTCGGGGAGACACCCTGGCCTCTTGCCTCCATTTCCACGGGGCCACTGTGGTGTCAACAGTCCTTTTTTTAGTCAAGGGACTCCAAGAGAACTTTTCTGGGACAGCTGCTTCCCTAATGTAGGAGGTCATCCAAGCACTGATGGCATTGAATGCTATCCGGATCAAGACCATTGGACCCAGGCCAGGATCCTCCTGGCCCCTGAACCACCAAACTCAGTATGTTTTCTGAGACATGCCTACGCTCAAATCATGTTGAACATCAGCCATGGGCACTCCATAACTGTCCTTTGGGACCCCAGCAACTGGATTCTGGGCGAGCCTCTCCCAGCCATAGAGACACTGGCTAACAGAAAAACGGACTGATGCCTGCACTAAGGGCCAACACACCCTGCAGGCATCACCAGGACCCCAGCTTCCTCTCAAGCAGCCCTGCCACCCTTGGGTGCACAGAGTGTGGAGGACATGGAGGTACTGGGGGGGGTGGCAGGTGCCCAACTTACACCCGCAGGCCAGTGTGTTCATATGAGGTGTCGAGACGGAACTCACCGTGGGAAAGGCAGAGGGGTGTGTGAGAGACAGAGAAAGGGCTGGGGGAGGGGCAGGAGAAGCAATGAGGAACTGGCGAGTGACTTGAGGACGGGTTTGAGTCTGGGGTGCCCGGGGATACAGTTTATTGATCTGGAACCTCTGTTCTCCGCACAGTCCCTCTTGCCAACTCAGAATAGGAGAGACGAACCCCTGTCTAAACTGAAACTGAAAATTGCAATGACAGCAAACGAACATTTCTCGTGACAGCGTCCCTAGGGGCTGCTGTCTTGTGGGACCTCAGCCCCTTCACCTCTCCGAGTCTCCGCCGGGCTGACAGCTGGCTTACCTCACTATTTTCCCTCCTCTCCCTTCCTCCCAGGGGGCTGAGGCGGTGGCAGTGTCACCTGGGTCAGGCCCTCACTCTTGCTGGTGTTCCAAACAAGTGTACAACAAGAATGGGAACCGAAAAGACGCAAAAGATCTCATTTAGTTCTGAGAGGAGACTGAGGCCCAGCTTAGGGAAGCCCAAAGCCAGACAGGGGACCAAACAGACCCCCCCCCCCCCAGCGCTTTGTGTCCCAGTACCTTCCACGGGCAGTGGGACAAAAGGAGAAACTGAGGTTCGGTAAATGGAGTCCCCACTGACTGGCAGAAGTAGCACTGGGACTTGGCCCCCTCCTCACTCATGGTGATCGCTGTCACCTCCATCTACCCTCCTCTCTGGGGGGAGAAGGTGACAGTGAAGACGGCGGGAGTAACGTTTGTCCCAGTACTTCAGATCAGGCTTCTGATCTGGTAGAGCTGCCAAGGATCCCTGTCAGCAGGCCAGAGGCAAGGCCCATGAGCTTAAGGCAGCCTCGGTGACTTGCCTTCAGCCTTGGCTTGTCAGCCAAGGCAGGAGAAGGTTCCGTCCTCATTCCCTCTCTGTCCCATGCCGCTGCTCTCTTATAGTGATGCTCACCCTGGCCATAGTTCCGAGCTGCAAGAGGGCAGCTTCCCTCCCTGTACAGCCTTCAGTGTGCACACCTTCCTCCCTCAGCTAAGCCGCAGTGCTCCCTCCCCGCCACCTGATCTTGCCTGTATAAGCAAGTCTGTGTCTTTCCTCTCTCGCCTGAGGTGCTGCTGGGCCTCAGCCTGGAGTCGTATTTATTAGACAGCCCCGTGGTTCCTGGGATGCCAGGCACAAGGGCAAGAGGCCCAATGGCTGTTCAGGCACGCACGGCTCTCGCCAGCTCCTTGAGACGCAGGTGCGTGTGAGTGTTCCCACATTGCACACCTGCTCTCTCTAGCGCCCTCACACTGCAGCTGCACATGCCAGAGAACTCGAGACGGAGTCTGGGGCTTCACCAGTGCCACGGCAGAAGGCCTGGCTATTCCTCCGGGGGCCTTCAGTCCTGGTTGAACCTCATGAAACCAGATCTTTCCACAGCGTTTGTCTAGCTCCAGCATGGGAACTTGCGATGCTCCAACAGCCCCTGTGCCAAGGCACCTCCTTAGAGATTGTGCCTTCCTGACCAGCACTGTGCAGTGCTGTGCAGTGCTCCACTGCCCCATGGGGTAGAGACCCCGACGCCCGAGGCTCACTGTGAAAGTAAGGATGAAGCGAATCTGCAGATCTCTGAGCCAGTCTTTGCCCACAAGTTGGTCTCCCATCATGAAATGTGTGGCTTGAAGACACGCACCCCTTAGTCCTCCGTAAATCCCCAGACATACAACGAGGAAAGAAAGAACAGAGCCCAAAAGCTGGTCCAGTCACAGGAAGGGTCTGGGTACTGGTGGACTGACACTTTCAATCTTTACCTGAATTCACACAAACACTTCTGAGTGTTCACACGGAGCCTTTCCCTGCTGTACCCTGGGGCTCCTAGGGCAGTGTGTCCAAGTCCATGCCACAGTCGCTGGCAGGGCCTGGACACAAGCCTGCTCTGGCTCTCAGAGCATAAGGCAGCAGTTCCACGAGCCATCTCCTGTCTCTTTTTTCTGCCCTTTCTACTTTAGAACAAACTGTGGCAGTGCGCAAGGCTGCCTGGCTAGAGCTTGTCCTATCCAGACGGCAGCATCTGAGGCCAGACAGGTGGTTTGAGGCCGCCCTCCGGGCAGGGTACAAAACAGCAGGGTGTGGTGCATCCCCCAGATATCTAGAGCAGGATTGGCATCTTCATAGTGAAAAACACTCTGCTGGCCCAAAGAAAAAGAGGTCTGTGGGCTGAACCGGGCCGGTCAGCCAGACTTGTGAGCCACCGTCTATTCTCTCCGTCCTCATTCTCGCGTGAACTCTGGGAGAAGGCGAGAGGAGATAAGAGGTGTGCAAACCGTTTGGACGTTGGGAGTGGTGGTGGGGGGAAGAACATAGGTGGTGGGCGTGAGGGGAGCTGTTGGGTTTCTACTCGTAGAGCTCCAGATGTGGCCACAAGGCATTGAGGGGTGACATCCCTTAATGAGTCAGGCTTCAGAGTGGCTGCTGTGCCCTCGGCAGCCTTAGCTCCATTCACCCCCCTTGTAGGTGACATTTCAGAATTTAACTCCAAGCCATGGAGACCAAATCTTAAAAATAAACCGAGCACTCCCAAACAAATACTAGGAACAAGCAGCGTAGGAACGGCCGTCTCCCAGGAGACCCCTGCACAGGCCAGGCCAGGCTAGAGTAGGCTGACCCCATAAGTCTCTGAGTTAGACCAGCTCCATGGTGGCCCTGGCCTTGTCACCCATCTGGAGTCTGCCTGTGATGGTTTCAAGGCACACAGTGGTGAACCTGGGTAAATTTATTCCTTTAATGTCTTAGCCTCCAAAAGGTCCAAGGCATGTGCATTTCTTAAGAGGAAACAAAATACATGACTGGAGACTGGGACAGTCAGGCCACGACATCTCGCCTTCACTCTGCCCTACCCCCCAGTGGCCCTTCAGCCCCTTGGCCCTTAGTGTCCCTAGACCTCAAGATTCCTTTTTACATATTCATGAGTGAGTCATGGAGTCGATCCATACTTCCCTGCTGTCAGCTGAGGCTGTTCCTGAGGTGGCAGCCAGGTCCCCAGGGGCCAGCTGCAGAGCACATAGTGAGTCCCTTGCACAGGGGCTGTTCGGACGCAGGTGCAGCTTCTCTACATGCTGGGAGCAGTAGACAGCCATCTTTCTTTGTCTTTGGTAATTCCTCAGCACTGGACACTTCCAGGACCAGCGGGGAACTCTTTGCCTGATCATTGTCACTCCTGGCTGCCAATCCAGGAGTTCCTCTCATCTCGTCTCCAGACGAGGTTGGTCAAAGTCACCCTTTAGTACCTCTAGATTCTTCTGCACACACCTTAGTGTCCTGAACAGCACCAAGCTGTTGTTTCTGTCCTCACTATGGGAATGTTGTGGCATGTTGGTGACCTCTCAGTGGGATCAGGCTCAACCTGGACAGCACTGAGCATGAATCAGAGATGGGAGCAAGGAAAACAGAGAAAAGATTGGGAACTTGGACGTTCTGTGCCTCTCACTAACTCTAAGACCTGACTTGAGGACACCGACCTGTAGTCTCACTTGTCCCTGCCTGGTTCCCTCACCTGCTAAGCTGCACTTGGGATACGCTCCCCCAAACTAGCATGCAGTCAATGCATCCCTCCATCCCTAGTCTTCTCCAAAAGCACCATTGGGAACATGTGACGATGGGTTTTTGATTTACAAGTGGTGCATTTCGCTTAGAGTGGAACAAAAAGGAAACCATTTAACGACCCCCGTGTTTCCAAGCATGAATACATTTTAATGAAATTATTTTATTGTATTTGAGGAAATGGAGAGTTGAACATTCCAACCAATCAATAACCAATTAATTGCTGTAAAGCTTAAAAGAAAAGAAATCCCAAGTCTATTTTAAACATCCTGAAAAACTCAGAGCCTCATAGTCAGGACTTCCTCTCCATGCCACGCACACAAGTGCATGGACAGGGGAGTTCACTCACACACACATACACACGCGTGTGCACACATACACTCACACATGTACACAGTCTCACACAGTCACATACAAACACACACAGTCACACACGCTCTCTCTCACACACATACACACACGTACACACACACGCACTCACACAGTCACACACACACATACACACACGTACACACACACGCACTCACACAGTCACACACACACATACACACACGTACACACACACATACACACACGTACACTCTCTAATACTAAGACAGGAAACTCAGAAGAACTTCTCTGTCCCCGATGCCAGTTCTTGCTGCCTGTCTTTGCCTTTGGTCACAGAGGTGAGCAGCCTCAGCTGCAGCCTGTCCTGGGGCTCAGAAAGGGACAGAGCTGGCCCCCAGGGCCAAGCTACGAGCACAGTGTGGGTGGTGAGGGCCTACTGTTGCCAGCAGGGTTCTTTTCTACCCGGCTACAGGGTCGCCCCCACAGAGGGCAGGGGGTGGGATTTTGACTCCTGCTGTATGATGCTGCCCTGGTTTGTCACCCTCTAGTGGCCTCTGGACATTGAGTATTTGTAGGAATGCAGATGACATTCCAATGGAACTCTGCCAGGAAGACATGTGGGTTTTGCTTCTCATTCTTTTAGATGGTTAACACTGCCCTAGGGACTGGCCCAGCATCAAAGAAATGCATATCTACTGTATCCGCCAAAGTTTGTGATGCCTGCATAGACGCTTGTTAAAAAATATACAAAAAAACAACAAAAAATAAACAAAACCACACAATTGAATTGCCTTTGAAAGTGGGAGATGATCTGTCTCCAACAGATTGAGAAACAAAAAGCTTCTTAAAAGTGTGTATGTTTTATATTCTTTTTTTCTAGTAGAACTGACTTGAAATATTGGTGGTTTTTTTTCTTAGTGATGTGTGTTGCTTTTGTGTGTGATAATATTTGAATGTAATTACAGCAGTGCCAATTTGCCAAAGATGTTGGACATATTTTTCTTTTGTTGGGGAAGGGCGGGGCTTCGGGTAGGATTTGGGAGGACACTGGGATGGGATACTGGTTTAATTTTTTCCAAACTTTTTTTCTCGTCAAACCTGGGATTTGTGATTTTATTTTAAGTTAAATGGTTGACTGCAACACCTTTATTTTAAATTAGCTGGAGAAACATGCAATAAGGTTGGCGTAGTTTCAATATCTGTGTCTTTTCATGAGTGATTGTTCCTTGTGAAGAATTGATTTTATGTAACCTTTATGTGAGATAATTATTTGTAAATATTTGCCATAATTTTATTGGTTCCTAAAATAAAAGTAATTTTTTAAGTTCAGAAAAAGGATTTGATAGTATTTGTTTTTTCTAATCCATACGTGATCTCTGACAACTTTGACTAAGTGAACAACTTCATGGCTCTTGGTTAAATTGGGGTCAAAAACAAACTTAGACACCCAGTGTATAGAACTGTATGTGTGACAGAAAGAGCAGACACTTGAGGAGACCGCAGACCAGTTCACTAAGTGTGTAATGGGAAATACTCCACCACCTCGCCACCCCCACTCACACACAGCAGAGACCGCAGACCAGTTAACCAAGTGTGTAATGGGAAATACTCCACCACCCCGCCACACCCACTCACACACAACAGACCAGTTCACTAAGTGTGTAATGGGAAATACTCCACCACCCCCGCCACACCCACTCACACACAACATACTCACACACTCACACACACATACTCATATACAGACACTTACACACACTCTCACAAAACTCACACACTTACATACTCTCTCACATCTTATGCACACTCACACTCACACACTTCCATACTTACACACATACTCACACTCTCATACACATGCTCACATTCTCTCTCATACACTCACACACAGTCACACTTTCACATACCCTCACATACTCACACACTTACACAATCACTCTCACACACTCACACTCTAATACACTCACACTCACACTCTTGCACACTCATACTCGCTCACACACTCACTCTCTTACACATACTCACACACACTCACTGTCATTGGCATGGGAATCTTACTAAGCTCTTTAAACTCAACTTTTTCAACTCAGAAATAACCAGGACTACCCACATCATTCATTCCATTTGTTCATTCATTCATTCAATTGACCGAAGATCTATTCTACCCGTTACATCAGGAAACAGAGCAATCAAAAACCCTGCTGACATCAAACTCATAACCTATAGCTTGGGAGCATTGAGTTAACACAGCTAAGTTACTGAGCGAGCGGTGTGCCCACACCTATGCTTTTAACCTAAACCCAGGCTGAGCTTCCTTGAACCTGAAGTGTCTGAGTCCCGACAGCTCAGAAGTCGTTCACACCAGAATACTTCACCCCTCGTCTCAAAGCATATCTCTGGCTGACCTGAGCCTGGTTATCAGACTCTACAGCCCTGGGAGGGAAACCCTGTCCCTGAGCCCTTAGAACCGAGCATCTGGACTGCATGGGAGCCAGAGGTAACTTTATTTTTCACCAGGGGGCAGGGCAGTGTGGACCTGAGCCTTGCCCCTGCCGGGCTGTGTCAGTCTGCAAGGGCAAACGGGGACCGCTGTGCCCCTTGGCACAGTGTGTGCAACTCAGTAATTGCCAGAGATGGAGTGGGTGAGTGACCGCGTGGGGGCTATGGACTGCGACTCATTCATATTTAATAAAGCTGCTGCATGGCCTCCATTCATTTTTGCAATGGATGGTGACGACAAAGATGACTCCTCGGGGAAGGGAGAAGGGGGTGAGCACGGGAAAGTCTAGCTCTTCTTCCAACCCAAGCCTCTGGCTCAGAAGCGCCAACTCCGGAAAGAAGTGTTGCATTTGGGGTAGGTGACACAGGGAGGGAGCCACCAAGGCTCATGCTTCTGTTTCCCTGGGGACAGAAGCCTCGCACCTGATGTCTGCCTCAGCCAGGGCAGCAGCAGCCCCACATGACCACTGAATAGAGATGAGGGACAAAGGCCTCAGGAGACGAGGGTGACTATAATTGAATTGGAAATGTCTCTCACCAGCTCATGAAAATGTTTCCCACAAGTTGGTGTTCTGAATGTTTGGGTCCCAGGGATGCACTGTTTTTGGCGGTTCTGGCATCTTCAGAGGCGGAGCCCAGCTGGAGAAAATGGGTGGCTCTCTGTCAGGGTATTGTTAATGGCCATTTCCCCTCGCCTTTCTCTGCGCATCCTGAACCACCAGGCGGACTCACCTGTTCTGCCTCTTGCTCCTACTACCGTAGTGCCCTACCCACGCACACGGGGCCAAACAGATATGCACTGGTTCCTCTGAAACGGTGAGCCGAAATAAATCTTTCTTTTCACAAGTAAGTTCTCTCTGTTAGCGGTTTGCTGTTTAAAAGGAATAAATCTGGCGGCAGAAATGCCAGCCAGCCTGCAGCTTTCTCCACTTGGCAACAACCACAGAGGGGGAGGAGAGATGACTGAGGTCTGAAACGCAAGATGAAGCCTTGGGTCCATTCATTCCCTGGCTAAGCCAGAGCAGGTGCTGCATATAGGGTTGCTCAGAGCGGGGAATGGAGCCTCCATGAGACAAGGCACAGTCTCTTAAGGGGTTTGGCAGGGAGCCATCTTGTTGGTACAAGCTCACAGTAGTCTTCATTCCTTCACCTGTGCAATGGGTGTGCTCCTTGTCACACTTACCTCAGTGTTGTGAGGGGTAAGTGTCGTGTAGCGTATGAAAAGGTTTTCTAGATGATGAATGCGACATTTACCCTGGTGTAAAGAAGTCAAAATGTGGGCTGGGGGGATGGGTCTGCAGCTAAAGCGCTTTGTGCACGAGCCTGACAGTTTGAGTTCAAATCCTCCTGAACTCATGGAAAGCCGGGCATGACGGTGCGTGCCTGTAACTCCGGTGCGTGCCTGTAACTCCGGTGCGTGCCTGTAACTCCGGTGCGTACCTGTAACTCCGGTGCTGGGGAAGGAAAGAAGCAGAAACAGGGCTTGCTTATCCAGCCAGGTGGGAAGTGTCAGGAGAAACCTGTCTGGGTAGGAGATGTACATATTCTAGGTACCACATGACCAGAGTCAGCTATGCAGGGGCAGACAGGGAAGTATATCCTCAGAGGGAAATTTCCATTCAGTTGCCAGAGCTAGGGGAGGCTTCCCAGAAGAGGTGTCTTTTGAGCTGAGCCAGGAAGAATGTACCGGATTTCAACAGGGATTTGAGAGGGCAGGAAGGAGAGGCCGCCCAGGCCAATGGTTCCCAGAAAGGTGTGTTGGGTGGAGCCTTCTTCCCCCTGAGCACTGTGGTCTTGCCCTCTGAGGCTTTGTATGTCAGACTAAGAGCTAGCCTGACTATGGACCAAGAGAGATGGTTGCCCGGGCCATGTCATTTCCTGGCAGGTAGCGCTGCCTAGGGAGTAGCCGGAGGTGGCCGGCGTAGGTGGGGGCTGAAGCCCCTACTCAGCAGGCTGCAGAGAGGGGAGGAGCACGCATGTCCAGCATGGCTGTGTGGGGAGGGGGCCTCCAGGCCTGCATGCCACAGTGGCGTCAGGAGAGGGACTTGGCCTGCCTAGTCCAGGACTTGGGGTGGCTGGCACCCAGAAACCTTCTCACAGCAGACACAGCCCTGTGGTTTTAGACTGTGAGAGACATTAACACCCCAAGTGATCCTATTTGCTTCTAGTTTGCTTATTGTGTCCTGATTCTTTTTCTGCAGGGAGTATGCCTTGTACATGATCTTTAATAATTGGGTCTTTTAACCAATAAAAGTTCTTGGCTTGCTCTTCCCAAGATCTGGTGATAGGAACCGTTTAAACCCTGTTTCAGGTCAACTCCAGCATGGGAATTTGGGGCCCTGTCCACAGCTACACTCAGACTACAGAGACTCGAAGGCCCAAGTCCAGCCTAGGCTGGCTGTTCACATTCCAGCTGTCCTGACACCGTCTCTTCCCAGCAGGCCATGTCCTGTCTGTGCTGGAGACTTGGGTTCCACTGCCCACCTCCATCTCTTAGCTCTCCAGCGCCACACCCCACCCCACCCCCACCCCACCCCCCATCCCCCACACCCCACCCCCTACCCCGCCCAGGAAGGTCTTTCCTCACACCTCACATTTCATCCAGTTTCTGCCAGACTATAAGAAAGGAGTTACTTTATAATTTTTCATAAAACTAGTAGGATTATAAGTGCTGCATGGGACATGACTTTATTTCTCAAAAAGATATATAAAAGACTCAAAAGAAAAGAGTGATGTATTTGGATACTATATATTATATAATATAGATAAAATTTTATGTGTGGTTAAATTTTTTTAATAAAATGCAAAGGCAAATAGTTCAGTAAAATAAATCCAAGAAATGTGAAAAGACACGGTGCCCTTAATACACAAAATCTTTGTATGGGAGCCATGAAGATAGTCTCCTCCTCAACTGAAAAATGGATCAAAGCCATGCACAGCACATTCACAAAAGGACATGTCCTACTTATCCGTGCAAGCTCAGCCTGTGTATAAAAGCATAGTTCAAATTTACAGGGATATTTGTTGTTTTGTTTTGTTACTCAAGCTGACCTTGAACTCATGATGATCCCCCTGCCTCAGCCTCCCAGGCATTCAGGTGAGCCAACTCACCCACCACAGGCACAGATTTGAAAGAACAGAGCTGCAGACAGTGCAGAGAAACAGACCCCACCAGGCTGCCCCTGAGCTGTCTGAGAGTGGAACAAAGCTGTCCTTCCATTTCTAGGCCTGATGCTGGCCCCTCAGTTGCCTGAAGGGGGCTGAAAGGGGCAAAGCAGAGACCCCGAGCTTAGCCTGACCATCCCTGGGTGTGCGCCTTTCCTGAGAGCCTGCAGGCTGCAGTCTTTGAGGACATGGACAGCCCAGGTTGGGAGGGAGGCGTGGCTTTTCCAGATCAGTGCTGTCATCTGGAAGGGCACGCGGCAGTGGAGGTCCCCCCCCATCCACAAACATGTGTAAATATCGCAACAGCGCTAATGTAACCAAGAAAATCACTTCCTGTTGTTTCCCCTTCAGTGATATTTTCTGCTTGGCTGAGTTTGCTTACCACACTGGAACGGCCAACTCATCAGTTCTCGTTGTTAATCAAGAGCAGTAATTGTCCGAGTGCAGAGCCTACTGACTTGGACTCTGCTGAATAGGATAACAAGTTCCAAAAATGCTAAGTAGTAGTTTCTATAAATGGGCCTCTTTTAATAGGGAAGTCCCCCAAAGAGGATTCATAGAGAAAGGCCTTCTATGAAGTGGAATTAAAACATTGTGTGTATTTTACAGAGCATGGCAAGTAAGTTGAAAACTTCTAGAAATTCTTAAACTGTGAACTCCATAGA